AAATTATTTATGAAAAAATTACATGCCAGTGACTGTATTCTATTATCCTGGGTAGTTTTTCAGTTAGTTCATTCATTTTCACGTTTTAGGGTTTGGTTTTGTAATCTGTATTACAAAGGAAATTGTATAATTTAGGTGCCTTTCGTGATAAGGAACTATGACCCAGGAGGTTTTTACAACCTATAGCTCGGTTGCCTCTTGATAAGAGGTACACAAAGCGTTCTGTGGAAGGTCACAAATGATACAAAGATGTCATCTGTTTTTAGGATTGGCACTGCTGCCTTGGCAGTTCAGGTGGTTGGTAGCAACTGGCCAAAGCCACATTATACGTTGCTGGTTACGGGCCTCTGCCGGTTCCAGATCCTGCAGTTGGTGAAAGAGAAACCGTATCCTGTTGCTGAAGTTGAACAGTTAGATCGACTTGAGCAGTTTACTAATCAGCATAAATCTGAGGAGGAGCTTGGAGAGTTGTCAGAACAGTTCTACAAGTATGCAGTGCAGGTAAATTGTTTTAATCCTATGTGCAATATATCAATGTATTTATATGTATATTTGGAGGAGTTGTTTGTTTCTTATTTACCCTTCTCTGCAGTGGTTATATTTTTCAGTTACCAGTAGAGTTTCAGTACTTCTGCTGCAAAACAAATATTTTTGTATAGCTTAAGGTTTTTCTGTGATGTTCCAGGGTGCCTATAGAGCTCATTGCAAGGTGAGTTTAACTCTGTATGTTAGTGCTATGATAAGTTGGTATTGTTTCATATACAACAATACTATAAATACACTCTAGTAAAAGGAATACTTTTGGATATTTTTTTCAAGAATTGATGGTAAACAATGAACTGATTTTTTGTGAGAGTTGGGTTTGGTTTTCTTTTTAATTATTCAAAAGAAAAAAAAACACTCTAAAGCCTTAATTGTAAACAGATGTATCCAGGTGTAAGGAATTTAAGTTTAAAGGATATATAGAAGAAGAGTTATCATAGTGTTAACATAACTGAGAAAGTGTTTCATCAGGGTGTGTGGGGAATAAGAGATGTAGGCATTGAAAAAAGTGCTTCAAGTGATGATGTTTTTGAACTTCTCAAATAAGCAGAAAGCCCGAGTCTTGATTGCCCTATGCTGATTTGATGCCTCTTCTGTGAACTCTTTTTTTTATTGGTTTCAGTAGCTTTTTGGCAAAATACCCAGGCACGTTTCATACTGAAAGATGCAATCTTTTTTGGGTCAGATACTCACTTAAATAATTTAAAAATAAACATAGCAACCGCGAATATTGTTCATTTTGTGTTCCTTACAGTTGGTTGAGATGCTGGATATGTCCGTTCCTGCAGTTGCAAAGCTGAGACGTCTTTTGGACAATCTGCCTAGAGAAGCTTTGCCAGATATACTGACTTCTATCATCCGTACATCCAATCAAGAGAAGCTTCAGGTATTATGTTCTTAAACTTTTTTAAGAGGAGTTAGGCATTTGCTATTTTTTTTATGGTTAATCACTTTTAGATAATTTTGAAGTTGCTTACGTTTGAGACTATTCAGTGATAGTGATGTGCGAGAAGGTGCTTGTGTTACAACTGAGCATGAATACTTGTAAAAAGTTTTTATGCTGTTGTTTGAAGGGTTTATATATCTGTATGTCAGAACTTTCCATAGGTAAATTAATCTAGTTAGCATTGGGAGCTGTTCGTTTTGTTAAACAGTAAGAAATACAATGTGGACTTCCCTTTCCCATGGTCAGGATAATAAATATTTCTTCAAATTTTTTTGGAATCTTGCTTATCACAGTTGACAGATCATTGTACATTTCTTAATGCCAACAGCTTCAGAATCAGGTTTTATTTTATCTTTTTAAAGTTAAACACTGAGACTGGTTAAATTTGCATCGTATATCAAAATAATTTTATGCAAAAATGATGGCTTGATGCTTACTAGTCTGATTTCTGTATTTGCTTGCTGTATTCAGAAGTTTTGTTGTTCCTTTTTTGTCACTGCCAGTGCTGCACGTTCAAGCTTGAGTTGAAAGCGTAAGTTGAGTTCTTTCAGACAAATAGAAATTAATGCTCTTTTATGAGGCTCAGTAATTGAAAACCAGAATGCTGATGTTTGCCACAGGAAATGTAACCGAAATAATAAGGTGCTTTAAAAACTGACAGGATAAAATACTTTTTTTCTATTTTGGATTGCTTTGTAATTTTGGCATCCTTGAGGCTAGATTTTGTGTGCTGTATTCTTATTGCTTTTCTTGCTACCTTTTTTCCTAAACCATCTATTCTATAGCTCAGGTCAAAAGACAGTAACAGTACCCTCCTTGTTCCCTTCCCCAAAACTGGTTATCCATCAGCATGAACTTGTTCACTACTTACAACTCCTTGCTCTTAGATTTTAGATGCCGTTAGGCTGGAAGAACGGTTCAAGATGACTATACCATTGCTTGTTAGACAGATTGAAGGCCTGAAGCTGCTTCAGAAAACAAGAAAACCCAAACAGGATGATGATAAAAGGGTATGGATCTTTAAATGTGGGATACTTAAACATCCTAAATAAGTATAAAGATGCACTTTTAAACAGGCTCATGAACGAACACGATTTTAATCTGTGCAAAGTTGTAGTCTATAGCCATAATGTTTTATGGTCAGTCTGGGGCTGCAGAAGAACACTCAGCTGGCAACTTTTGCTATTTAAACACCTGAAAAAGAAAATATTTTTTTAAAATTGCCTAAAGTTGCTTTTTTTTTTTTTTTTTAATCTGGGCACTTTCTGACATTGCATAAATGACCAGGTCCCTTTAAAGATCCATTTGATGCCCAGTACACACACACTGAGTTTTGGCCTGTGTACCTTTTACCAGTGGCACTGCAGGTGAATGACAGCTTTTGAGATACTCCTTGTGTGTTGTAAAATGAAGTTTGCTAAACTAGGACAGTTTAGACTCTTGCTGCGTCTAACTATACTTATGTAGTTTGGTAAACAGGAAGTGATTGAGAAATGAAAAAAAGGTAAGAGGGAAGACTTATCTATTTTGTAAATATTAGGCTTATTCTGCTTAATACAGCAGGCTGCAATGCCCCAAAAATCACAAATAACTGTTTTCAGTTTTGTTCTGTCCTCTGTTGTCTGCTGGTTAAGGGTAGGTGATACATGCGCTTAGGAAATACAGTAAAATGAGAACTGTAACTTTTTGAAGTAGTACCAATAACACTTTGTGAAGTTATTGGATTAAAATCTTCTGAATTTTTCTATGAAGGACGCTCTCCCAGCACCTCGCATGTTTTCCTCATGTTTTCCATTCAAAGCCCAAGTATACACCATATTTAAAAAACAAAACCTGGTACTATTCTTTGACTGTTTTTTGTTTTGTAGATTGTAGCTATTCGTCCTAATAGAAGAATCAATCATATTCCAAGCACTACAGAAGATGAGGAGGAAGAAGAAGATCATGATGATGTTGTCATGCTGGAAAAAAAAATTAGAACATCCAGTATGTCAGAACAAGCTCTTAAAGTTTGTCTTAAGGAAATAAAGAGGTAGGAGACTTTCAAACAGTGGTTTCTTCTCTCATTTTTTAAAACAAATCTTGCGTTAAGCTTTTCTTATTTGATGATATGCTTGTGTTAGTTGTGTTTTGAAAATGATTTTTAAAATTTAGTAGAGTGCTATTTTTTGCTTATAAATTTCAGCATTTCATCTTTTAGAACATCAGAGGTGAAGACAAAGAAATAAGTCTTCTAGATACAGTTTATATGTTAATATAGCATTAAACTGTAAGCTCTAAGCCTCTACATTATGAAGTGAAGATCTCAAAAAAAAGATACACTAACACTGCGGTTGTGTATAATTAATGAATAAACTGACCCAGTTTTAGTCATTTTTTTCTCTGATGAGGGGATGACTGTGCTGTCTATTGTGATGTGATGGTTAACAACCTCTTCCTCAGTGAGAATGCATAGATAGTGGTGCATGCAATGTATGCATAGGGAACTGACTTTTTTTCATTTCTCTCGATATCCTATAAATAACCTATTATTATGTAAAGATAATCCCCTAATTGATGGAATAGTGACTTGGTTTTTTACTATTACAATTGTCAGAAAGTAAGAGGGTATGCTGATGACCTCAAGTTTGCTAAATATCTGTCTTGTGATGCAGGAGAGTCTTACTTCACAGTTAATTCCTCATTCACCTTATGAATTCTGTGCATGTATTTCCAGGTTAAAGAAGATGCCTCAGTCAATGCCGGAATACGCTTTGACAAGAAATTACTTGGAACTGATGGTAGAATTGCCATGGAACAAGAGTACAAAAGGTAAACCCTTCTGTTATTGTTGTCACTTGCACAGACATTTTAGGACAAGTAGCCTTCACGTAAACATGACATACTTATTTCTGTCTTGCAGATGTTTGTCTCATTCTCTGATCATAAAAATGTCATTAATATGTTACTGAAGTCTAACAGCCTGCCTTGCTTAAAGTCGTATCTGTGTACTGAATAGCTTGTATAATTCAGTTGGGCATCTAAGAATGTGAATTTACAAAGTATTAGGAATATCTACATAGAGAAATGAAGGTGTTATCACTTACAATCTGTGCTAGCATGTATCTAAAATAATGAAGAAAAGAGCAGATAATTACTATTTGTATGTCAGACAAAAAGCTTTTGTACGTTTCTGTAGCATTAATCTTCCTGAAGAAGGTTATGTTATGTCTTAAGTTAATCAAGTTTAATAAGGAACAAAAAGATGAAAAAGCACAATTGTAGTTAATAATTACGACTTCAGGTACAATAGAAGAACTGAGTGTCATGTCAGCTTTGTACCACAGTTTTCAAAAGTTGTGAGCAGAGCGATAGTATTAATATGGAAACAGTATGCAAGAACACAGGGCGAGGAAAGAGTAGAAAATCAAATACGACTTTTCCAGCTGACGAACACGAGTAGATTAAGTGGGTAAAATGACTTTCCAGAAGGTTTACTGCTGGAGAAAAGGATTTTAATTCCTTCTAGAAGCTACTGAAGAATAAGGCTTTTGAATAGCATGTAAAACAATCTGATTTTTAAAAGAAATTTCACATACCACACCAGCAGGAACGTTTGTCTGTCTTTTGCCTTCTCAGTACGCATGGTGATGAATTTTGGCCGTTTTGGACTAGAGCCTTGGCTGTATACAAATCTTCTTGTAAATGTTTTCTTTAATCATTAAATTATAAAAAGATCTGCCTACAGATCTGTGCAGATCTCTACAGTATTATTAAATACTAGTAGGCCTTTGAAGGTCCCTTCCAGCCCTAACGATTCTATGATTCTATGATAAAAGAATCCCAAAATGAGTAAAGTATTTGATGATACTCATGTCCTAGCAGAATGATTCTTTGGTGAACGTTGCTCTTTAATCTTGCAAAATTATGCCATGTCACATGTAGTTTGAAGCTTTTACTTTAAGCAAAGTTTGTATTCACATTCCTGTGAGTAATGCTTTGGACTCTGTAGCTACAGCGAATAAAATATACATGAATATAAAATAGAAAATTCAATGGAACATTATGATCATTAGTGAATTTTTTGTTCAATGGTTCATTACAAAAATTTACACAGTTGATGAGAATTTAATCACAGTTGTCTGTGTGTGAAATATGCAGTTACTGCTATAAGGGCTGTGCATCTGCAATGCTTAAAAATTGAAGGGTGGGTGTGTGCAGAGTTGATAGACTTCACTGCTTCCTGCCTACTCTCTGTGTTGTAGAGCAAAGAGCAGACGGCTGCTTTGTGCCAGAAATTTCTCCTCTGTGAAAAGTTTTAGTTAATGTCTATTGATGAGGCCTGACCATTTATGTAAAATTATGGCAACCACAAAAACCAGATTTTTCCAGGCCTGGTATCACATGGGTGTTTTTTACAGTGCCAAATCACTTCAGGTGTTGCCTAGCAAGCAAAGCCTGCCCTTCAAGCCAATAGGGTCCTGCTCTGTTTGCGAGATAGTGAGAAACCCTTGTTATAAGTAGATGACAAAGACATAGGGATAAATTTGTCTTTTGAGAATACCTTACATGATCAGACTTATTTGAGAAAGCAAATGCTGAAAAATTTTGATGTAATTGAATTGCTATTCTAGAATAGACACTAATTTCATTTGAACCAGATTTCAATCTGTGACACAGTGAAAAGGTGGGTTTTTTAAATTTCATTATCAGTGCTATGATCTGTCTATCTTATGTTTAATTTCCTTATTAAATGAGAGTTATAATACCTTTGTTTTAGGAAAACATTGTCTAAAATCTGTGTGTCAAGTGGATTGCATTGATGGATGTGTTTGCTTCTCTTGTATTGTAGAATTAATGGTTTCCATTTTTAAAGGTAAATGTGCTGATATCTTTTCTGTTGTCAATGATTGATAGATCGCCTTGAAATTCGTGCAGCTCGAATTCTTTTGGATAATGATCATTATGCTATGGAGAAGCTGAAGAAGAGAGTTTTGGAGTACTTAGCTGTCCGTCAGCTTAAAAACAACCTCAAGGGACCCATTCTTTGTTTTGTGGGGCCCCCAGGAGTTGGTAAAACTAGCGTTGGAAGATCAATTGCAAAGACTTTGGGTCGAGAATTCCACAGAATTGCTTTGGGAGGTGTTTGTGATCAGTCTGATATTCGAGGCCACAGGTAATTACTTCTTCCTTTCCTAATTACAATTTTTTCTTTTGTTTGTTACAGAATGTATTGATTATTTTCATTGTTTAGATAATACAGAGCAATTTTGCTTATTTCAAACAATGGTAGTTATTCATTGGTATTCAATGGTATTATTCAGGAGAGAATTTTAGTAATGGGAATGAATTTTTAGCATTGAGAATACAGGCTTTATTCTCTCCTTCTGCTGCTGCCCTTTATTGTCACAGTGGAGAATGGAATTTCATCTTCAATCACTTTGGCACTTTGAAGTAAAATTCAGTAGAAAGTCTAATGCAATCTCCTTAATGCTCGGTCTGATTTTTCTACTTTTTGAGAGAGATGTAGTGATTATATAAAATAGCCTATGAATAGCAACGCATTACTTTATAACCAGGCTTGTTGCTAAGACAGGAGGAACAATTGAGAGTCATACTTAAAAGTTGCTACAGGATAGCAACTGAGTTACTTAATATCTCAAATTTGTTAGTCTACTATTTTCTGATTTCAAAAGGAAGTTTATGCAAGGACACTTAAGCTGGAAGATTTCAAAGGAGATTTTTTGGGTGACTTTCCCTAGGACTTTTTTTTTGATCTTGTGTCTCTTTATGTATCCACTTCTTAATCTTCAAAACTAGTTGTTTATATTAGTCCATTCCTTGCAAGTGGAAGCATAATGAATGGGTAATGTAGGCAAGTAACTGATAAACATCAGTGCAGTATTTTTGCTTCTATTAAACATATTTTATGCTTACTGCATGCAGTGTAGGAAATTTGGAATAATGAATTTCTTAGTGTTCTGAAGATTTATAAAACCATGTGGGTTGTTTTTTTTTAAAGTCACATTATTGAATATGAAATTTATCCTTACAACAGTAGATAAATTATTGTGAATTAAAGTTATCTGTTATTTCTTTGATGCAGTGTAGCAGTTAATTTTGCCTAATAGCTATGCTGGTACTTTCGATCGTCAGAATACACCATCATTCTTACTTCAGTTCCAGGTTATTCTGTAATTTCTTTTTGTTTTCAAGGCGTGAAAAGGGCCTTGGTATTCTTACCGGTTCCCTATGTAATTTTAATGAAAACTTACAAGAAATGCCCCAAAAAAAGTTCATTTTGTGGTGTCAGACTTCTGACTGTAAGCTGGTTGCATGTGTGAATAGTTTAGAGTGGTAGAAGCTCACAGTCCCAACCCGAAGGAATGAGGGAGACTCACTGGGAAATCTTGTGCTGAACATGTGCATTAACTTCTACGAATCTACAAGATAGTGTATTTCCAGGAATCTAGAGTATAATGTACTGTTGATCACTTCTTAGACCAGAATGTAAGAGATGAAAAAGTGAGAAAAAAGTGATTTTGTACTTGACCACAACTTGAATTTTCAGAGTTGTTTCCTAAACCTTTAGTTCAGCACCCTTGATAAAATGATACATTTATTCCTGTGTGCATTCTTCTGTGGCAGATTTGCAGGAGTTTTGTTTTCCAGAGTGTTTGACACTTTCCTGGAGTTTGAGCTTGAAAGAATTGTTTGAAAGATTTTTCTTAGTGTAGATTTGGTCAACATACCCAGCAGCCAGTGGTGATTTGTAGATACATTTGCTTTAACGCATCGGTTTTTACTGCAGAGCAGCACTCAGTGCGTTTGTGTGACTGTTTTGCAAACCTCTGTAACAGCTGGCCTTTTAACCAATTTACTTACACACCAATGGAAAAAGAAGTGAAACTCTGTCCTCCTTCTCTATGTATTATTCCTGTAATTCATAAACTGTGTCGTTAATCACTGTTTAATAACTGAGAATTCAGATGTTTCAGATTACTTATGGTATGGGTCCTAAAAACAATTTAAAATGTGATTCAACAGCATGTTGCTATTCGAACTGAAACCACTAGAGGCTGTTGAATACTAAGCATTATAAAAACAGTAACTCTTCCAGGGCAGAGCACGACGCCAGCCTTCTTAACAGGGAAACTACTTTATGAGTAAAACTGTCATCAACTCGTACTCAATTGCCACTAATTCCCTACTGTTTTCCGGGTGTTTTTTTGTTTGTTTGTTTGGATTTTGTTTTTTGTCGGTTTTGTAGTTCTTTTCACTGTTTGGCTTTCTATCTTGTGCCTAGATCTAATACAGACAGCTAGAGTCATGTGATAATGAGGCTTTTGAAAACTTAAATTTAGGTGTTTGTGGCTGTCATTGTAGGATTTTTGAGGGCATTATTAAACTATTAATGCATGTTAGAAGCTAATTATTATAAATGTCATACTAAAAATTTACTTGAAATGAGCTAATGGGAAGTATTTGATAAGAGTTTATTTTTCATCAGCAAAGGAAAATGCTATCTGGAATTAGCAAGAATATCATGTGGTAATTCTTTAACAAATGTGTATATTTTAAAAACAAACTTTGGAGCCTTTAGTATGAGGAGTCCCTTGTAACTGACTGCTTTTGCAAGTTTCTTGTAGGTAAAATCAAAACCAGCTGTTGCATACTGTTTTTTTAATTCTGCCTCATTTTTTTTTCTGCTTTTAAGAATAAGATTTAATCAAATTAAAACTACAGCTTTTCTGTAGACCTCTCTATATAACGTCCTTTTGCATGAATAAATTCTTCAAGTTATTCCCAGTCAAGTGAATCTATATCGTGCATCTGGTGGCAGTCAGAGAAAGGAATTACAGAAGCTGTCTAGAAGTGGAGGAGACATAGGCTGCTGTTCCCTCAGTTTTACTTTTAAGCAAGCTGATTTTTAGTGTTAGGTGTTAGGAGCCATTCTTTTTCTCCTAAAAGCTCCTTTTTAGGCTTAAAGGCTTAAGTTAAGGATTCCATTAACATTGCAAAAGAGTGATAGTCTATGTACCGTTTTTAAAAATGTACTGAATGTACTAGAAGATTTAAAAAGCCTTGTGGTTCAGTTTCACTCGCAAGTAAATATTGCCCGAAATAGCATTCCCTGTGGCGGCTGATTACGTGTTGTAAGTGAAAGATGCAGACTGATAGATTCAGTAAGCAAAATAAAGTACATGAGGTGGCAGCAGGGTGGGGAGTGGTGTTTCGTAAGTGTGCTGTTCCATGTGATGTGCAGCTAGGGCAATTGGAAACGCCCAAGTTTTGCCATTTCAGTGTGCATCATGTGCCTGCAGCTGGAGTTTGTGGACCTTCTTTTGATTGGGTGAAGAGTAGCTACTACTGTTCTGCATTCCCAAAATGAAATCATCATCTTGGTACAAAACCAGAACTTCTTTATCAGACATCCTCCAGCTGTTGTTCACATTCACCGCTCATCTATACCATATGTATAAGTCTGCTGGTTTACATTTATTGTGAACTTGCATTTTTAAAAAAATGTTAAAAACCCCAAACCACCCTGAAGGACAACTTAGAACTTTTTTCCAAGAAGCTCACTATGTTTAAGGTCTCTTTGATATTTTGATTTCTACAAGAACTGTATGATCTTCTCTGTTACGTGTGTGTGGTTTTCTGTTTTAAAAAGGGAAGATGTAAATGTGCCATTTATTCACAGTGGTGCTGGTGAGATCACTATGAAGCTTTTTCTCTCTCACCTCCATGTGAAGCGCTCTTCTGTATATTACCATTGCTTTTCAGTTTCTGAAAGCTCGGATAGTTTATTTCTGGCTTAGGACTGTGCCTGAAAACTTCAGGTGCATCTGCGTGAGAAAAGGTGTGATTCCTCACGGGTACAGCTGTGCTAGCAGGAGTTAACAAGCACAGGCCTTGTTGCACTAGAAAAAACCAAACCTCAAACAGTTTCACCTGGGAGAGGAATAGCTTTGTTATAAAAGTGTAAAGCATAGATCCATTTGTAAAGCACTTTGAGTAGACGCAGCCTCTGTCCTTGCAAAAAAATAAGCTGTGACCTTGTGCAAGCAAGTTCAGGAATAGTTTCTTTGGTGGCATTACCTTTGTTATCTTTTCCTACTCTGCAATTTAAAAACCACTGTAGTTAAATGCAATTTAAAACTTTTTTACTTTAGAAAAGTATGCAGAAAGTGGGTCACGTTTTTATCAATAATACTAGTACTGCTTTAAGGGTTCCAATTCATACACATTCCCACTTTATATTGGGAGAGCTGACAAGGTTACATTTCCCAGCTGTCTGTCTTGCATTTTCTAGGATACATAACTCGTAATGACATGCTGTGCAACTCAGATACTCAAATCTACTCAAATCTAAAATGACTGTGACCTGAAGTCTATTTTCAGGGTTGGGGGGGAGGAAGTATTTCAATCTATTAATAACAGCAGCTTTTTAATGTTTCAAGAAAGAAAAATCTCTTCCGGTTTTGTTGTGGGTTTTTTTTAAGTGCTTCTAATTGGAAAAACTCCAAAAAGTTTTTAAAAGTGATGTGTGTGTGTTGCATGGATATAAACAAACATTTGTTATTCAGAAAACCTTTTGGTACCTAACACTTACTATACTTTGACCTGTGTTATTGCAATTGGATGTGAAGGAAGAGAAAGAGTGATTATTCACAGTGCTTTTCCATGACTAGAGAAACTCAGTTTACCTTCATTTAGTTTGTAAACCAAAGCTGCTTTTTAAAACCAGATGGAACACAGATATCTCAAAACTTCTTAGAATTTAAAAGGATCAGATAAAACTTTGTGCATGTAAGAACACAAACATGCATTAAAAAACTGTAATGTCTTTAGGCATGTGCTTGAGAAAAACGTACCAAGCAAGAAAGAAGAGTGTTTAATGTTTACCTAATTATGTTATCCTATTACTGGCATAAATAGAATATTGAAAACAGTCAGGCTGCCTTGTCTCTGAAGCATATAAAATTATTTACTAGTACAGTAGACACCTTTTGTTAAAAAGCAACAACAACTAAACAAAACCCGAAACCACAACCAAAGAAGATAACAAAAAAACCCAACACACCACACCACCCGCTCCCCCCCAAATTGCTACAGTAATTAATTTGGTTGCACTGGTAAATGATTCACTTCTATGAACTTCAGTTCTGCTTCTGCCTTGTAACTTTCTGATTGCATTTTATAGGGTGCTTCCACGCATTTGGCAAGGTTGGCTGTGTGCAGATGGAGAATGAAGTGGCATGTAGTATAATAGCTCCCCCGTGCAGGTTTTTGGTCTGTAATAAACGTTGCATAGGCCAGTGCTCAGTGGAGAGGAATCCAGTCACTCACTGCAGAGTGAGGCTACACAGAAGTGGTGAGGTGATAAACTCTTGCATGCTGGCTGCGTCAGCAACTATCTCATGGAAGGTTCTAATAGGTAAACTTAAATTCTGATCCATTTCTGGCTGTTTAAGAGACCCTAAAAACTTCTGGTTTTCCTCAGTAAATAGAATAACTGCAATTTGTTCCCTCACTGGTTAAATATTACATGGAAATAATACCATTTCTTTGTGGTTTGAGTTGGGATTTTTTTTTTTACATTTAAAGTCTTCTCTAGTATCTTTTGAAATTACTCCCACGGTATTTTTGGTTTCATCTTTCTAAATGTCATCCTGTTTATTTTGGACTGTATTGAAACAGATCACATGGCAAAGCATGTGATCACAGTTCTGCATCTCTGCTCTGTGAGGGTCATGAGATAGGTACTGCAATTCAGCGCTTCATGTATCTCTCTCTTCTTGAGTGACCAGCATTTCATACTCGTAATTTTTTTGTTCAGTTATGGCACAAGCAGAAAAGGCTATGATGAATGCAGCAAACAAGGGATATACATGCATGTAAAATGTAGTTGCTCTGTGCTTTGGGAAAAAAGTTTTTACTGCTTTTGCTGAATAAATTCAGTCATAACTTTTTTGTTCTGTTGCGCTGTTATAGTTTTTTTATTTCATGTTGAAATGACATAGTAAATACAATTTTTTTTTGTGAGTATTAATTAAAGCGTGCTGTACGTACAAGAGACATTGATAGTTAAGCGTATTTGAAAGTTTGGCCTGATTTGTAACATGCTGTGTGAACTCTATTGTGATGACAAAACCCCAGTATCGTCAATATTAAAATTTTAGTATTAATGAAGTTCCCAAATCTACTTCTGCTTGTTCATACAGTACAAGGATGCTTGTACTGAATCATGTAAAATGCCTGCAAGCCATAAAGTTTGGATGTACTTTAATGCATATGTTTAGCTTTCCAGACCAACTAGTATACCATGGAACTGGAATTTTCATCTGCTGATGTCGTTGCTTATATTAGTACAAATGCATATTCCGTGTTTTTATCAACTAGTTCCAAAATGTTTTGCAAAAAATCAAGAATTGTTATAATGCTGCTTATTCTTATATTTTCCTTTGAGTTTTATTTTTGATGTTTCTACACCTGTTACACGCATCTGTCCTCTCCCCATATATATTTATTTCTCACAGGCGCACCTATGTTGGCAGTATGCCTGGCAGAATAATCAATGGACTGAAGACCGTTGGGGTTAACAATCCCGTATTCCTGTTAGATGAGGTTGATAAACTGGGGAAGAGCTTGCAGGGAGATCCTGCAGCAGCCTTGCTTGAGGTAAGAGATGTTAAATTACAAGCATTGTTTAATTTGTAATTAAAAAGAATTAAAATACTGGACTGGAAAGGAAGATTCACTGGATGAAAGATAGCATGAGTGTCTTGGCTTTTTTTATTCAAATACTAGCTGCTATGTTTTGATGTTGTTAGATTTCGGTCAATTACACGTGCACAATGCAAATGCTGTTACACTAAGTCAGATGTCTTTAGTCTCAGTGATCTGTGTTTGAACACAAGGATGTGTTTTGTGCAAAGTGTTTTGTATGTTTAAAGACTGTTCACGCCTTAAACACGACTTGGGGGACTTCGACATTGATTTTTAATGACCAAATGCTGTTGGGAATAAGAAAGAACTGTAGACCAGCCAGACAGTAGCTGGACTTTTTGGAGTTTCCCCTTTCTTGGAACAGTTTTAATATTAAATTTTTGAAGCTTTTGATGGTACAAGCTTATATCGGAACTAAGCATTTTACGTAGTATATAATATGGACTAGTTGCGTGTTCCTTTAGCAGCATTTCTTTAGTTAGTGTTGTAATTAACTTTCTGAACTTACATTTTTCATTTAAGTCACAGATCCGCACTCCTTGACCGATTATTATGTGTTTTTTGCTTTTCACGAGAGTCAGCTATTAAGTGTGTTTTTTCTGAAATTCTGGGACTCGGATCAAGATATAAATTAACCTAATTTTGAAGTACATGGTATAGTTGTTTTTGTTAGTGAAAGACATTTATCCAAATTTTTTGAACTAGCCTGCCTCACTTTCACTGAAATGATTTAGGGCGGCATAATCCTAGAAGCATCTTAGTTGTCAGACTTAAGGTGTGGTAACTTCTGTAGCTGGGCATTCAGGTGGGGATGAAAGTGGCTCTGGTAATATTTGCCTACAGTCATTCTAATGACTCTTTTTAACTGACAGTGCTTAATACAGCGGTTTGAATATGATAAATGCAATTTAAATTAAGTTGCTTGACTTATCTGCATGCTGTATGACTTTCTGCAAATGAAATTGACTTGTCAATTTACATTCTACAAATGTCATTATTTTCTTCCTGCTAGATAGTGTAAAATCACTGTTTTGACAAGGTCAATGAGTTCATTGAAAATCAGCATATGAACAGGTTATGGTTTGAGAGGTCTCTTTTGATCTTTGCATGTTAATGTGAAATAGTAATTTAAATGTGCTAGAAAATACCATGAATTCACTTTTTTACCTTTTGAAAATGGCAGCTATGATCCTTTACTGTGTATTTCTCAAATTTGTGGTACAAGTTTCTAGTGAAAAGCCTCTAAGCGCTGGGAAAACAAGCAAAAGAGTGTAACAAACATGTAAATGCTTTTTCTTTGTACTTTTGACTTGCAGGATTTTATTTGCTCTTTGCTGTTAATGGTGATGAGCTCTGTTTCTGAGTGTGCTGGCATTTTTTCTATCGTTTCTCCTTTAGATACTGAACTAAGCTAGACTAAAGCTAGTCAATATATGGATAAAAAAGATCTGAAAATCAAATTTTGTTAGCTAGCTGACTGTTGTTTGCTAGGCAGTCAAAATCAGTAATGAAGCAATGATTTGGCATTTCTTGGGAAGATAATAACTTTTTTTGGAAGTGTTCCAATCATTAATCCAGATCCATACATTAATATTGTTAATTTTATTCAACCTTTGCTGTTTCTTTTAATTTATTTTTCATTCCATGTCTTGCAGTAGCAAATTAGCATTTCTGTTTTTCTTCTATCATGTCAAGTGTGTGAGGGCAAATGACAATTTATTTTTTAATCATTTGTGTTTGAATTTTTGATAATTTGTTACTGCTTTGAGATCTTTCTGTTTTCTATATTTTAAAACCACATTCTCAGTGATTTTCAGCACAGCTACTTCCATGAATTATTCCAGCTGAGGCTCCTCAGGTTAGCTTCCAACTGTCTCTTTGGGCAGCAGTCTTTATGTAAGTCGTTGCTAATTGACCATTAGTTGCATCTGGAGAAGTAATTGCTCTATTAACCGTGTCTGGGCTGCTCCCATGTGAGATCTGTATATCCCTCTACTGCTGTCTAAACATCCTGAAGCAGGTGCTTTACCTCTTCTAATGGAGAACTCATGCCTGGACATAACAGCTTAATTTTCATCTGCTTTTTGTGGTTTACATTGTTGGAAAGTCCATCTGGAATGAGCAGAGGTGGCTATTATGTAGGAGAACAAACAACAGTAAGTGGTCACCTAACTGGCACATTTGTTTTTCAGACTGCTGCTTCTTGTTTGGTAAGTGCCATCATTAAGTATAAAGGGCAGGTTCTTCTTTCCTTAATGTGTAAGTCTGTTAAATTCTCACTGACTGTCTACAGTGGGATATATTCAAGAAGAGAATTGCCATACCGTGTAAGCTTGGAAACAAAGTTTGATGTTTTATAATTGCCAGATATGTGTTTAGTTCTAGTGCTTCTGCAGAGTTGTTGCTTGAGCAAAACAGAATGTCTTCCTATTTCCAGTTACTGTTCATCAACAAGGGAATGTTTTAGTCTAAATTTAGATGACCTCTGTTTAAAACAGAAGAAAACAGAAATGGATCCAAGTGCCTGATAGTGAGTATTTGTATGCAGGGAAATTAGACCAGGAGCATAGCCAGGCAATTAAATGTTCATGGAACTTATTCTGGATTTTGTGGTAATAAAAAGCTGGTACAGAGAAGCCTTTGTATGCATGTGAGCTGTCAGCCATAAATTAACCAAGATGTTTTGTTCACTGAATGTTCTTTTTGTGCTTAGTATTTTTGTATTAGTTGAATATCTTTGAAGAGTTTTGAACTTTAACTTTAGCACAGATACCCAACTGAAGAACAGCTCTATTTGCTTTGGAAAATCTGTTTTAAATGCATAGGCGTGATATTGTTTTATGTCTTATTCTAAGAACTAGTTACCGTGACAGACAATTATTAGTCCAGAGAAATTCTAGCCCTTGTAGAAAATCTCAAATAATTCACGTTTTTAGATATAATCTGAGTTGATTTTGATTACAGTTTCCTTTACCTTTATTGGATAGTATTGTTTCCGCATGAGTACAACATTGATATTTTGTATAGCTTTGTAAATAAGAATATAATCACCATCTTAACACTTAGTAGGGTTCATAAGAATTTCCAGTTTCAAACTAGGAGGAGAAAGAGATAAACACGTGTAGATAAATGTTATAAAAAATCAACTTGGTCTATTAGAATACATTGTTTTTCAACATCTTTGGAAGTAGTTGTGAATGCTTCAGCTAATAGACTGGAATTTTCTGGAAATACTGTGTTATCAGTGTAAAAAAAAAAAAGGTTACGTCAAATTAGGATTTGCTGTTTAAATCAGTTTTGAAAAATTTGCAAGAGTAGACTTTGAATGAGAGACTAATATTTGGTATAGCTCTACTTTCTTTGAAGACAGTTTGTAGATGCTGTGCATCTATATTTGAGATATCCGTAAGTCTGACTGAATTATATATTGATGTACTTGGCTAGTCAGGATACTTCAATGCCTTTGCCTTCATCAGTGAAGAAGGGAGTAAATGATAGCAGCTGCCTGCTGAAGAGGGTAAGAAAAGCAGCTTTTGAATAGCTTATAGGCAATGAATAATAACGTTCACTGAGTTCCAACCTTGGTTTTAGAATTTAGGCATATGCTTCAGTATGTTTTAAGGTTTCGAAGGGGAACATAAAACTTGTATTTTATTACAGTCACAATACATTTCCAAATATTAGTCTTAAATCTGTGCAATACTTCAAAATAAAATCAGAAATTGTTCTGCTTCAAAAAAAAGTTCTGCTGTGTTTCGGCATTCTTTAAAAAAAGTAGTTTGCTAGTTTGTCGTGATCATAAAATGTTTCTGTTCTAAAGATTTTTAACTTTTCAAAGACTGAACAGAATTTGAGAGTAATAAAAATTTAGAATTATTTCTCTCATAACTGTCTAAGAAGTACTCAAATTCAGTTTTTTAGAATTATCAACACCATTCTTGGCTATAATTCAAGTTGCTAAGACAAGGGGTGCATTCATTTGGGTATAGGCAGATAAATTATGTTGACAGCAGTGTGCTATTTCTCAAGAGATGCATAGGTCCCATTATTTGTAACATGAGAATTATTCATGTCGGTGTAGCATTGATAATTCATCATTTGGGAAAGGAAAGTGTGGCAGTACTTTAAGGACGAGTGTGTGGAATGAAGGTGGTTCATAGCTGGTGATATAGAAGCCAAGTGCAGATTGCTATATACAATGAACTAATTTTCAGCACTGTTAAAAAACCCTACAAGACAGAACCTTAGTACACTCGTGATCCACATATGTAGAATATTTATCACCTAATGCAGAAAAACAGCGTATTCAGGTAATAGCTTTAATACATACAAGTGTTGTGTTAGCACATATAAGTAGTACTAAAAGCAATAGGAAGACAATGCTGTTACTTAGGCCATAGTTCTACTTGTGCAGTAAGTTTTTGAGGTTGGTCAGACTGTGTGTTGTTATTCTTCAGTGCTTGTTTAATTTTGTCTTCATTTTTTTATCGCAAGATTTGGGGAAAAAATAAAAAAAAAAGCAAAGATTGTGTTAGGAAAGCCAGAGCTGAGCTAGAGTCAAGATTTGCTTGGGATGTCATGGGGAACAAGGAGAGTTTCTACTACTACATTAGCAGTGAAAGGCTGGGCAAAGCTGAATGAGTGGGGCAGGTGATTTAGTGACAGCAGATAAGGCCGAGATAATCTGTGTTCTTCCCCTTGGTCTTCACAGTGAGATGTCTCAGGTTGGTTGGTGTGCTCAGAGAAAGAAGAGCTACCAGCAGCAGATGAGGATTGAAGTCAGGGATTACTTGGGAGACTTCTACTCGTACAAGTCCATAGGACCACATGGGCTGCTTTTCCAAGGGTGCTGAGAGTCCCTGAGAGGGTCCCTGTGAAAGGTCATGGAGATAGGTTACAGGAGGTTCTTGATGATTGCAGAAATGCTGCAGCCGTCTTTAGAAAAGGGTAACCAAGAACTAACAGGGAAATGACTTTTCTTTTAGCATGCGGTGTGGAATGTAGTTACAGAGTAATCAGAGAGAGGCAGGATATTAAGGCTCAGGCTTTAGAAATATTCATAATATATTTTATGAACGTAAAGTCAGATTTGACAGAGCCAAATGGAATGTAATAAAAATGTGTATATTTTATTTACTTCTAATTGAGCAACTGCATCAATTTTGTGTTCACTCTTGTTAAGGTCTTGGATCCAGAACAAAATCACAGTTTCACCGATCACTACTTAAATGTAGCCTTTGATCTGTCCCAAGTCCTTTTTATAGCTACAGCCAACACTATAGCTACTATCCCACCTGCTCTGCTGGACAGAATGGAAATCATTCAAGTTCCAGGTAACACTACACTGTTTTCATTAAAGTGGCTATTCCAAGTCCTTCAACAATGTTGGGGTTTTTTTCCTGAAATGAAACGCGGTTGGTTAAGGTAAGCCTGCCAGGAATCTAGACTGAATGGCCGGAATCATTGAAAGAGATTAGTTGAGATGCCTCCATTATGGCCTCTGTCATGAGAATGAAATTTAGCATTACACTTACGAAAATTCAGTTCCAGGTATATGGAGATACATCCTGTAACAATATTTTCACTATTTAATGTGTTTATATTCGAAGTGACTGTTGGCTAATGCATCTTTTTAAGATTCCAGTGAAGAAAGGGCTCTTGTAAACACAAAATTCTGTTGTTCACATCAAGTTACGAATAACCTCACAAAGTATCATACCAACAGCCTTTTACATTACAGATGGGTTTTTTTTTGTTAAATTCAATCAAATACAATTATAAATAGTAAGAAATTTTATTATGTTGTAGTGTATAAGCAAGAAGATTAGTAAACATGCTTTATCTTTTAAAGGATACACACAAGAAGAAAAAATTGAAATTGCACATAGACACTTGATTCCTAAACAGCTTGAACAACACGGCCTGACTCCACAGCAAATACAGATCCCACAAGTAACCACTTTGGACATAATTACCAGGTAAATCCGTTATTACTTGCTTTGAGTTTAAATAACTTGGTTTTTTTGTAAATTGTTTGTAAACTGAGAACACAAAACATTCTTAAATCTATTGACCTTATTAGCTTCAGAAGTTCAACAATTGGCAATTTATGGAATTACTCTTTCCTGAGCTCTGGCTGGCTCTGCTGTCTAAACTGAATCATCCTTCCTTCTCTAGAGAATGCCTTGGTCTGGTTCTCAGAGCTGGCTCACAATCAGTTGTGTTGACACAATTGGCAGGGCACTATGGATAAACAGAAACACTTGAAGCCAGTATTGCTGCACTGTTCAGTGTGCGAAGCCATGATCTTGACAGCAGACAACCTTTACTTTAAAGAACGAAGTTTTATTTTTGTCATTTTCATAGGAAAAATGGAAATTACCATTTTGTTTCCTGTGACTTAATGGGCTATATGTGTCTAAAAATTGAAATTAGGTTATTTTTTTTTCAATAGTTTATGCTAATTAGAACTACTTTTTTGTTGGATGTGAGAGCACAGATGCTGATCAGAACATCTTTTGGACTTGAAACTAGCTCATTTCCAATGGAAAAAGTGTATCAGTGTTCAATGAATTGAAATATTCTATCACCAGGAACTGCATTTTGGCATTTAGTGAGTGTTATTGTTTAATTCATAAACTAAAAGAAAATACTCTTTTGCAGTCAGTTCCTGAACTTTCAGTGAACTATATTTTGAGTTTTAAAATAGTTCTTGCTTTTAATTTTTGTACATCTGAGAAGAGCTCAGCGCTATTGGAGCGTTGTTTAGCATTTCACTAAGGTTGGACACCAGGCATTAGTCATGTCTTCTTCCCACTTAGTAGTTTGTCTTTCTTTGCAATTTTATCAGCAAACCACAATTATTTTGATAAAAGCACATGACATTTTTCTTGTTTATTAGAGTAGCCCAAGGTCTCTCTGCCTTTCACATCTCGTTTTATTTGCATTTATTTTTAAAAAGAAAGTGTGTTTACATTCAAAAGAAATCTCTCTTACAAAGAATATCCACCAGTAAAACAATTGTCTCTACATTAGGTACACCAGAGAGGCAGGAGTCCGCTCTCTGGATCGGAAGCTGGGAGCTATTTGCAGAGCAGTGGCAGTGAAAGTGGCAGAAGGACAGCACAAAGAAACAAAGCCAGATCGTGCTGAAGTGGGTGAAGGAGAAGGTGTGTATCTTTTGCATGTTTTATTAAAAAGGCAACTTCTAACAGAGTCACTAGGAATCTGATTTATCAATCTTTTCTCTTTTTTTATGATTCTTTAAGGGCTCTGTTTTTAAAAGCTTTGTAAATAGAGTGCATTCTTACTATGCATGGTTCGAGTAATGCTGATTTATGGCTTGGAATATAAGTAGAGTAATTTCAGCCTGCCAGGTTGGTAACTGAGAAGTACAATGGATCTGTTTCATATCTTAGGTGTGCAATTATGATTTGTGTGGTTTTTGTCTTTCTAGGCTTTATTATGCAAATCTTTTCACTTTTTTCCTTTAGTAAAAGACTAAGCATGGCTTTAGTTATTGGATTTAAAGAAGTTCTTTAACTATGCTGTCCATGCTTTACCAGCTCAGAACTCAATCTGGTTATTTTGTTGTACTCTAAACGTCTACTTGAAGAGCTTTGAAATTAGAAAGGTTTAGGGGCTTTTTTTATGTGCCTTTAAGACTGCACTAATTTTAAGTCTCTTGGAGCTTTGGTAACTTGTCAACTTCAGTAAGTCTGTTCTCGTTTCCCATGTATACAGTGATTTATCATTCCCAGTCATCCAACAGACTGGATGAAAACTAAACGTAAAATTCTCAGACAGCAAAAGTAGTCAGGTAACTGCTTCACCAGTAGAGGTAGACCTCTTTCTAGTCTTGAAATAGAGAAAGAGAAGTCTTGAAAGAGAGAAAGGAAGAAGTCAGGCCCATAATCCAGTTCATGTGCAGCATGCAATGGGTGACTGCTCCCTTTCTCATCCCCAAGTCAATGTTCTCTTTAACAAAAATGAACATCCATACTGTGCTTGGTGAAATGTACCATGCAGAGCACAAATATTTGTGCTGCTGTTCCAGTCAGTTGCTGATGGAGGATCGCACTGAACAGCAGTTTTCTGTTCAAGGTTTCAGAGTGCTCATTGCAGCACTAGATGTCTGCAGTAGCCCACAGTTCAAGGTAGATGAGAAATGTTAAAGGACAGAGTCCAGACATGAAGTTGAACTTGTAAAATGTGGATAGTCCTCAGTCTTAATATAATCTAGCAAGCAGGATGTTGGGTGGTTTGTTTGTTTCTTTTTTGAAGACTGCAGTAAGTCCTGTTGATGTTTTCTGACAAGAAATACTGCCGGTCTGTCAGAGAACAACTGTGTGCCAGAGGACACCGGAAAACAAAAGCCATGGTATGGCTGCTTACTTTTGCTCCAGAATCCTCACAAACTTAAAATGCTAAAGAGACTCCTGTTGGTTTGATGTTGTGAAAGATTCCACAACTAAGCCAGTGTGGAGAAAACCTCTGTGTTTTAACATCTCTACAGCTAGAATAGTTCTGGACGGGTTTAGAGGACGAATAAGGAGACTCATTATCTGTTCCTTTAAAATAAGGCAGCTTACAAGTCTGAATGACACCCCCCTCACCCCCTTCCAGGGAGAAAAACCTGGGGGAGGGAATACCACTGTTTGTACAAATATCAGTTACGTTAATTAGAAGAGTATATGAAGAAGAGTTTTACCCATAGTAAAAACTTCTGTAATTTGTCTCTGTAAATCTGTTTGTTGAGGGCTTTCAGCATTAACTTGTCTTTTTTCCCCGACTCAGTATTTCCCTTTTGAAAATTGTATCTTCCTCCAGCTTGTTGAGTTTTCTAAGATCGTCATAACGTCTGTGGAAACGGTAGTAACAGAAGACTGAATTTGGCCTACAAGTCAGCATTTGCTGGAGTGGATTCAGCTTGGTTTGCTCTGGATGTTTAGCTTAAAGAAGGTGAACGCTCGCAGTAGCAGTGGCTGTGCATGCGTGAATGACGCTGTAGTTTGTCTCATCTACATTAAATGGAAGAGCTTTTAAGACACATTTATTAATGCTTTCCATTTATATTCCGTGCATCCATTTATATTTGTGCTGGACTTTTCTGAAGTCAAACACTGAGTTTTGTTGATGTTTCTGTGGTACCTGAACTTCCTCTTGAACCAGAATACTGAGCCTTTGGGCCATGGTGGCCAGGCTTACTAACAGCAAGCAATATCGGATGTCTTTGCTACTGTCACTTTTTTGATAGTAATTTTGGTGAGTCATATTTTTTAAATATTTCTTTGCACTGAAGGGTAGCTGTGTCTAAAATGTGCTTAAAAGGTCTAATGCGATTGCTGAATTAAAAAAAAGTGTTCTGCTCTTCAAGCCTTCTGATAAACAAAAAGTAGGTTCACAGCACAACTCCTGATATTATAAGAAGAAACGTTTTTATTATTAAAGCAAAGAACAAACAGGAACTGTATTAGACATCTCAATCGTAGAGAGATATTTACAATGTTAAAATTAGCACTGTACTTGCAACCTAGGTATTTATACTGTTAAAATTATACACTGTTAAAATTAGTACTGGAGTTGCAACTTACCAAAGCTAAGTGAAAACAGCAAACTAAGTGCTTCAAAAGAGGGCAAAATGCTAGCGCTTCCAGTTGAAACACAATTTGAAGTAAGGCCAGAAGAAATAAGCTGTCAAGAGTTGTCTTTGTGCTTCTGGAATTGAAACTGTCTGTAAGAAGAAGCGGTATTAATAAAACGGAGTCCAAGGGGCAGGTGGCTCTATAGTTAAACTTTGGTATTGTGAAGACAGACATGGTCTGAAGAATGGTGCACTATGCAAAATGTGTTTTATTATGTACTAATAATGTGCTTACGCCCTGCTGTATTTTTACCAGAATATGTCACTTGTTGGGAGTGTATGAGAGAAGGACACTTTTAAAAAATATTTTGTGTTTAGTTTTCATTCAGTCTGTTGGAAACAACCGAGTATTTAAAACAAAACTCGGAAATATCCCCAAATACTTACAAGTTGATGCAAATAATGGGATTTGTAGCCTAAATTTATTTCTTTGGATTTATTTTTTTCCAGTTCAGCAGTGGACATTTGTGCAGTTGTTCATAGTGATGATGATTTTTTTTTTTTGTATAATGAATGACTCTGGAAGAATAGTTAATCAAGTTGTTGTATCTTAATAGCTTCATTTAGAATTATTTCTAGCTTATTTTTTTTCTTTATCTGTATAAAAAGACATACTTCATTTTTGTTGTAAACATTTGTCAGTTACTGATGTGGGATTAAGACTCTACAGTTAGTGCATTCATATGTCATGAGCTGTGAACATGAGAGAGCAAGCTACAGGCTTGCCTTGTAGATTCTGACTGACTAAAGCATAATTTGTGTATCATTCGTACCGTATCAGAATAGAAACATGGTGCCTGTTGTGTTTATTCAGCTGAGAGCCTTCTGGCTTGTGGGTTTGTAATAAAAGTTGGAAAACATTGGGTGGTAGAACAACAAAATTTCTGTCGTTATATTGATTAAATCAGATTATTAACTCAAAGTGGAACATCTGTTTGCAGGGCTTTGCAAACATCAGGCTTTTGACATTGCTTGATAGTAGGCTCTAAAAACGGAGGATACCAGCCATAGCAGAACTGATGCTAGGAGATATGCTGTCAAGCCATGTTTAGCACTTTCCAAAAATGCATGATTGAAATACACTGGCAGCTTTGTGTTGCCTTCCGTGCTCCTTTGAGTCCTGAGCTTTATGATGAAGTTGGCAAGTGGAGAAGTGTTAGTTTGCGTCAGTCGTTGAATTTGTACAGTGAACTTCAGCAAAAGCAAATGGAGTCGTTTTTCAGACCTCTCCAGGGAGTCATCCTTGTGTACAGTAACAGTATCTGATATTTTACTGAAACGCTATCTGAGATTTATGAGACACTCATCTAGTCTTTGACACTATAAGAAATTCTAGAAGTCACAAAAATACTTGAAACACTCCTTCCTATTTTAGTGCAACTGCCTGGAGAATACAATACAGCAACTGTGCACTGAGCCATCATAACATGATACAGCAGTTGAAACCCAGAGTGAAAAATTGTCTAATTCAGACTTGAAAGGAGGTTTCAGAAAGGTAATATTTAATAACTGAAAGTGATTAAATGAGGATTCTATCTCTGTTGAAACCAAAGCTTTGAAAATACTTAAATATTTCCATAACCCAGTAATACAGTAGGGTAGGGTTTGTTCTACTCCTTGTGAGTTAAACAACACTTGGTTTTGAGTTTAAATGCAAGTTTGAAGTGGTCAACATGAACTGAAACACGTAGTCTTTACTCTCCCTCCCTCAACTTGGGCATAATACGTTTTATTCACAAGATGTTATTGTGCATGACTGGCAGGAGGGGTTGCTTGGTTTTGGTGTGTACAAAGGCCTCAATACTGCTGTGCCAACATCACTGCTCTTGCAAAAAGTGACCTGTTCTACGTTCTAGCCAAAACTTGGCACTTCCAGCAGCATGGAATCTCCCATAGCACTGGGAAATGAGTTTGTGAAATCTGATCAGCATAAATCTCACAGTGGTATGACTGTAGGCACTCAAGTTGGAGCTCAGCTGTGCTGGCATTAGTATACTTGTCAGCTCTGCAGACCATAATATGTCGTTATTTCTAAAAATTGCTTGGAATGTCTTTTATTATTTGTCTTCTTTATATTATGAAGCGTGGGATTTATATAGAAACTTTTTTTTTTGCTGTGTTAATTTATCTAAATATTCTTGCATGAAAACCTCAAATGCAAGTGCTTCAAGTACACATTGCAGTTCTAGATCAGAATTGATGGAATGTGATTATTTTGTGAAATGTTCTGATCCCGTGGGGGAAAATGCACATAGCATTAAATTTAAGCAAACTAGTAAGTGTTAGTAGAATTGGGGTCCCAGGAAGGGAGTTCCTTTCCAAAAGAAAATCTTTTGGAAGTAACGCTCCCCGGGTATGTAGTGCGTAAGATTTTAAGTTGGACAATGGAAAGTTCTGTTTCTGGAAACTTGAATTTAACTGTCTTGTTTTAGATAAATATGTCATCTATCTTGTGCTACGGTTTATGACTGTTCCTCTGGGATAGGTAGGGAACAAGTATTTGTCATCATTAATGGAAATCTTAATTACTTGCGTCTTTACAGATTCTTCATAGTCAGCACTTCTGTAAAGGTGAGGAAAGAAGATGTTTTTGTCCTTCAAAGAAAAAGTTAGTGTTAGTAATTGTTTTGGAACATCACTATATGCTTTTATAGAAAATTAGATAACATCAGAATTTACATTCATATTTCTAGAAAAAAGTCTAGAGTTTGTTATTGTTACAGATTGTAAAATGGGGTCTACTAATTAGATTGTATAAACTCAATGAAAGAGTTTCTGATTCTTTTAATATGGCAGGTGGCCTCAAAAATGAACTACTGATTTGTTTACGGGAAGTCTGTCTCCTTCAGCTGCATACGTAGAACTAGGTGAAATAAGAGCAAGCAGAAATGAAAAATTGTGCTTATTAGGCAGTGAAATCTTGGTATAGAACAAAAGCATTTGTTTTTAAACTCAGTTTTATTTTAAAAGATGAATTGTCGTATCAAATTACTCAGGTTTCGAAGATCCATAGTGTTGAAATTGCAGTCTGAGTTGCAAGAATAGCATGCAGGGTTATGTTTCCTAGACTTGATAGCATTTACGTATTTGGATTTATTATGTACAAAAATAGTAGTTCAACAAAAATATAGAGACAAGCTGGAACAACAGCAGGGCCACCTGACTGCGGCAGCGTTTACAGTAAAGGAAGGGGATTTATGCGTGGAGCAATGAGTTGTACAATGGAAAGATTAGTGGCTGTTGGATAGTAGCTATTAGACAGGAGTCCTGAATGAAAGCTGAGTTGGTGTGAGTACGGTAATGGTGATGTAAAATGTTTTCCTTGATACCGTATGAAGGCATCAGTGAGAACTGCACTGCAACAAAATTAACTGTAAAAAGGCCTTTGCATATCAGGATTAGTAAAAGGATAGTTGGTGTCCTGTGAAAGGCGACATTCTGTCTTCATCCATTCTGAGAATTACTTTTGCAGGACCGAACACCTCTTAATGTTATTTTCTATAATTATTTAAATTTCTGGATCTTCCATTATTGAGCATGCGTTAATATGCAAGAGAAGACAATTTCTTTGTTGAAAGTAAAAAAGAATTCAAGGAAAGGAAGCAACAGTGGGTAATTTCCCAGAACATGGTGCAGAAGTCGTGAAGCGCAGCGTACATTCCTGCGTAATATAGACTATTGCTTTCAGTGTATCTTAGGCTTGTGGTTTGGGGGTGAGAACTACCTTCACGATTCGTACGTGCACAATGCTTTTCTTAATGGCAGCCTCAGGGCAATGAGGCAGTGCCGTAAAACTGCCACAGAACCTTGGAAACATCTGGATTGTTCAAGTGTTTATCATTTCTCTGGTACGTGTTTCACTAAAATATTGCTTGGGGCTTTTGAGAAAATGGTAATGAGCCTTTTGCATCTGGGTCAGATTCTGTGGGGAAATGACTCCCTGCTTACATTCTCCTTCTGTGCACAGCCGCTTAAGTAAATGCGCAGCGTAGCCTCGTGCAAATGATGTTTAAGTTCTCGAGCTTATTTGTGCAAACAACTGGCTGTGTAGTCTGGTTTAAAACAATTTTGAGGCTTTGATGTTTATATTACAGTTCACTTTTGTGTAGAAAACACATTTATAGAGAAAACAGAAATTTTAAGGAAATGCTGCAAAGGAAACAATTGTATAGGTAAGAAATAGAATCATACTACAAATGGAGGAAGGAAAGAGCACGCTTTTGAATCCATAACTATTGCTTTAATTATGTGGTCCCTTCTTGATGACACTTGAGTATATTGTGTTCAGAAGTGTTAGACTAATTGGTTTTAGTAGCTCTTCCTGAAGAGTATATCACACCTGTAGGTATTTCTGAAAATGCCTAATAATCTGATCGTTGAGGAATTTTTTTGCTGCTAGTGGTTATTGGTCAAGATACCTTAGAAATATCTCATCCAACAAAGAAAAGAGCAGAGCCCTGTGTAAGTGTACTATTTGAAAACAAAAGCCATGGAGGAAGTTGTTATACTGAAATTGTTTGAGGTTTTTCCCCTGAGCAAGGACTGCGTATGCTGTGTGCCAAACTGGCAGTTGAACAAATGAGGGATGTCAATTTTGTGAATTAAGCAGCCTGATCTAGTGACATGTGTCCCCACCGATGGCGGGGGCTTGTATGAGATGGTCTTTAAATGTCCTTTTCCAGTAAAGCCATAATAGTCATCAGAGGCAAAAATCAAAGTAAAAAGTGTGATATCAGAATATGTGCTGCAATAACCGTGGGCTGTGTTATGTCGGGGAAGTGGTTCTGTCGGACAGCCTGGAAGGAGGCGGCACACCAGTGCTGGATGTTAGGCTTCCAGTGGGGCTGGCTTCTGTGTCATCTACGTGGAGCAGCTTCTCCTGCACCAGGTCAGCTGGCGATGAGGGTATGTGTCTGAGGGACTGGGGTGTGGAGAGAGGAAGGCAGAGTGACAGGCAGCAAGTTAAGCCGTCCTTGATGGATACTGTGAAATGAGATGCTGTTGAGTGTAATGCAGGCTAGCTGCTGGTAATGCAGCCACGTGGCAAAGCAATGTATGAAAATCTGGCCAAAATGCTCCTACTTTATTTGACAGAACTTAATTAACTAGAGTCGGAAGTTAAGCATTTAAATCCTTGCAGAAAGAGACCACAGAGAGCATAGCTGTAAATGTACATAAAAAGAACAGTAGTTACTGAGCTTCCAATGTTTCCACATGCAGCTCCATTTTCTATATTACACTACATTAAACATGATCACCTCCTACAAATACTGGGTTTATGCACAAATCTGATGAAAAGCATGAAGTCCTAAATGAACTGAATGTGATTTGCTCTTTGACCTAGTTTAAAATGCATTTAAGCAAGTGAGTTTCATCTCAGTGCTCTAGATTTAATATTATCCTTGCTGAACAGTGAGAACATGTTTAGGCTTAATACTGAAATTCAAAACCATATTATCTTTAATTTGACAAGATTTTTGTGAAAGATGGTTTAAGCACACTTTCATGACCTTTCTGAACGTTTCTTTGAATATTTTATTTTTCTCTGTCATGATTTTTTAAATTCCTGTGTCAAGAAAGATCGCTACAAATCCTAAATGAGGTTTTCTTCTCTTAGATTGCAGAGAGCATGTCACAGAAGATGCAAAAACAGAATCCATCAGTGACACAGCTGACCTGGCTCTGCCACCTGAAATGCCGATTTTAATTGATTTCCATGCCTTAAAAGATATCCTGGGGCCACCCATGTATGAAATGGAGGTAACATCCTCATTTGTTTCTGCTTGACCGCTGTTTCTATCTGCTTTGACTAGTTGTCTGCTTTATTGCTATTGACTGAGTTTATACAATATTAACTTTTTTTAAAATGTATTAGTAACAGGACTGTGTTTCTTTGTGTTCCGCCAAGTGTTTTTCACCTAAAGAACTTTTTGTTGTGTTTTAATTCTGGGTACCTAAATAACATAATGGCATGACTTTCTGTTAGCAAAGATGCCTGCAGCAGCGCTTAAGAATGTGGTGGTGTTTTTTCAGTTTATAACAACTTTGCTTTTGTTTGGGAGATGTTTGGTGGTCTTGGGAAAGAAGCCAAAAGTAGAACCCAGGAATCCTGTCTCTGAGGCAGCTGTGTTAAGGATTGTCCCACATACCTCCTTAAAGCCAGTCAGCATTTTTGGGTATTAAAACCACTTCAGTTTGCACCAGAGGTTCTCAGACATTCTTTAGATTAATGCGACTCTTAACTATTAAAAATGTTTTATGATAAGTCAGTCACTTCCAGCTTCCTAGTACCAGCTCTGTTCCTCTGTAGGCATATTCCAGCATTTTTTCTTTTCCCTCATCTGTATTTTGCTGCGTTCTATGAAAATGCCATCAATTAAAGTAGTTTGTTAGTTTGGGATTCTCTTTTCATCATTGCAGTTATTCTCTGCTTTACTTCAGGTCCAGGTGGACTGACCGAATGTAAGTAGTCTATGTAACACTAGGACAGGAGACCAGTTGCTAATGGAATGCTAAATTTGTGTTCAGCGTGGAGAAAAGATCGGTAAACCATTAAGTTACAGAGAAAATAGAAATGAAGGGAAAACTTCCGGAAGAGACAAAAGTCAAACTTTTAAGAACTTTCCTGTGATAATTTTTCTCTCCTAGATGAGAGAACCAGACTCCAGTGGGATTTGGAGGATAAAAAGGAGACAAGGTACACAGGGGAAGCAGGAGAAAATGAATGATCGTTAAAGAACAGTTTTTAGACCTGAACTGAGGTTTTTGGATATGAGGATTTTATCATGGAAGAGATTCTTAATGAAAAGACAGAAATGAAGAAACAAGTTGAAAGAAGACAGCACTATTGATTGTGTTAGAGGAGGAGGATGATGGTGACAGTGGAAGTGGGGGAGAATGGGAGGCAAGGAAGATCAGGTGGTCAAGAGACCAGTACCTTATGACTCTCTTGGCTGAGTTTTTTCACATTGGTCATTTGTGTTCTGATTTTCTTCTTTTTACTTTCAGAAAATTAGAAGAGATTACTCTTTAGGCAAATTACTGTGAGCAACTTATGTTCTTTCTTTTCATCCCTCAGAAGCTGCTATGCCCAATAACAAAATCACACAAGACAGTTTAAGGCCATTTTAATTAAGAAAGTAGTGTGGATATGCTTTAGCTTGATTTGGAATGACTGTAGCCATCAGACCATTTTTAATACTCCTGTGGAAATTTTTACTACTCTGTCTATCTTTTTGTCACTACTTGACTTTTAGAAACAATTATTGAAAAATAGCGTGTGGGTTTTTTTCAGAGAAATAACATTCTGTCTGAATTTTCATTTTGAAGTATGTTATATACTTCAGACATCTGGTCTTTGGAACTAAAGCACTGCACAGTCATTTGGCTTTTTAATGCTTGAATTGCAGATGCACGTAGAGCCATTGCTGTAAATGGAACTTAATATTCAAGCCAATACTCCGATCTCTACAAACGGTGTTTATTAGTTTCATAAAGGTGCTAAAAAATAAATTGAATTTTGTGAATTTGTACAAAAATTCTGGTCACTTGCAACTGTATTCCTATCTCCCAGTCAAGAGTAGAATTAATTCAAATAAATATGAATTTACCACACTTTATAAAAATTAGATTGTAGGCCAAGAAATACATTAGTATGTGACTTTCCTTAGATGTTCTGCATAGTTTTGAACTTTTTCTGGAGTTGATTATTCATTTACATTTGGTAGCGTGGCTGTGTTGGTAAATAATTTCTGCTATTTTGTCCTTTTTCTACAGGAGTAACTAGCGCAAGTAAAATTTTTAGTGTGGTTCTTAATTCCAAATATGCAAATACATGAGTGCTGGGCTGGTTTTTTTGAGTGAACAGTTGCCATGTATATGCACGTAAGCATTTCGTGGGTCTGCTGGCCTGTATAAGCTGAAATAAGACTGGTTGAAGCTTTTGACTTGTGTAGCAAAGGTTTTTTGAAAGTTTCTGTATTTAGCAGGCAAATTAACTGGTGCATAAATAGAACTAGAGATGAATCCACACAGCATCGATTCCTAGAGCAGGTCAGGATTTATTTGCATGTACTATTAGCTGTGTTTATTAACAAATAAATATTTTTCAGTACACGTGATTTTTTTCAATGTAAATTGCTCAGATAGCCACAGAACTCCTGTTTTAATGAATTTTCCCAACTAACCTTTTATTCTTATGAATTTTCTTGAGTGCCCCCAAGATTCTTTCAAATGAAGAGTATGGCTCCTGTCCCAATGACAGGCGTTTCAGATGGGCTACGGTGTTTTTTCTGGTTCTGTAGTCTGCAGCGTGTCTCTCTTCTTTTTGTATCTAGCCTTTAAAGCTTCACCTTTGACCTGCATTTTGCCATGTATAATTAGTTGAAATAAAGATACAATGGAGGCAGCCGCCACATCAGTACTCAGATGAGACTGAGCAAATAGAACTGAAAACATGACACAATTTAATTGATCCGTTGTCCTTCAGGGAATAACTTGAAATGAGTGAGTCATCTTTCACCTTTTCAATGCATGGCTTTCATATTTTTTGCAGAGGTCTCCCAGCACAAAGGCATGACAGAATACTCAGCTCATAGCTGTAGGATTAATTCATTTATCACAAACAAATAATCTTACGTGTCACCCTACAGAACAAATGTTGGCATAAATCGCACAGTAAGGCTTTGGAATTATGCTGACTGACTTTGTAAGTCCAGAACTCCAGACTTGCAGTGATGTCTCTTTTCCTTTATCTTCGAATAACCTTAAATATTTTAAAATAAATGGCTGAGCTACATGTTAAGGCTTTAATTTTGCAGTGTCCAGGCAGCTAAAATGTATCTGGCAATATGTCCATCTACTCATATTACAGCTAAATTGTAGCTGGGTTGGTCTCATCTACAAAAATTTCAGAAAAACAAGACTGTTTACACAGGTCCGTGACCTATTCTTCCATCATCTGACAGGCATGACCAGCCATCAGCTCATTCTAATGGTCATTTTTAACTGAAGTTGTTTAAAGAGTATAAGTAAGGATTTTTTCTAATTTAAATTCCTCTGACTTTTTGTGAGAAGAAATTATTCAGAGGTGCCAGCAGCGATTGAGTCTTGTGGAGCTCACTGTAACACTTGATAGCTGTGTTTAATGGAATGTAATGTGCTTTCCTCTGAGTATCGAATGGTTGTTTGGGGTTTTGTGTGGGGGTGTTTCTGGGGATTTTCAAGTGTCTTTTCTGAAGAAAGTTATCAAAGCTGCCAGGGCGTTTTCTGTGCATATGCCTGTCAACACACGTCAGTTAACGTTCAGGTGAAGAGGCTGCAGCAGAGGTAGTACAGTCTGTAGTAGTACAGCAAGAGAAGCTGCTGGCCTCTGAGTCTACCTGTTAGTGTGAAGAGTGATGGTTGAAAGGTGATTAGCACTTACTGCACACCTAGTTTCTCTTACCATATCTCAACTTACTTGTGAAAGTAGGAGGAGGTACCTACCTGTCAGTCTGAGGATAGAGGAGGGAGTTTGTACCGAGGTGAGATAAACGATGATTTGGGTTTCGATCTTTAGTCATGTTCACCATTTTCTGCCTCTGAGCGTTCCAGCAGTGGCATGAGCCTGTGAACTGTTTTGGATTGATAGACATTTGGAGCCAGTGCTAACATCCAGTCCAAAAAACGGAGAAGAAAACAAAAGACCCCAAACCAACAAACCCTGTTGATGGCTGCTTTGGGCTGGGAAATGGTATGGACAGTTACTAGTGTTCATTATACCTGAAACGTTTCAAACCATGACCAGTTGCCAAAACACATAGTTGAGATCTCAAGTGTAAAGGAGAATGCTTCGGTGGTGTTGGATTTCAGTCTAACCAGGATTAATTGATTTTGTTAACCTGAGTTACTAAGCAGTTACTAAGCTAATCAGGGTAAGACAGTGTAGCTAATAAAATACAGGGAACGGATACAGAAACTTATGTTAACAAAAATGAAAATGCTTGCTGTAAGACGAGGTGTTTTGATACCATAAAAGTGAAACACGCTATTATGTACAATTTTCTTAAATGCTAGAAAAAAAAAAAACAACCATTCCGGCTAAATTATGCTAATAAAAGGAAATGGTATTATGTCATTCAAAATATGTAGATAACTGAGGGCTACAAGAGAACCAAGCAGAGGGGCTGTGTTGGCTTCTTTTTGCCAATGTTACTGTGACATTATAGTCACGGACTTACCTGGTTGTCAGTCCAGGCATGTAACACCAGTCCCCCTGGCCTCTGCTGCTTGTCTCTGCTGACAGCTGGAGCCTTGTTTGCGCCAGGAGCTCCTGTGTCAGCTTTGCTGTAGTCAGAGTTGGCACTGTGCCTCCGCGGAGCGCCGATTCCCCTCAAACCAAGAAACAGTGATCCTGGGCAAGCATCACATTTCAAATCTCAGTCGTCAAACTTAGAAGACGGCAGCGCTCAACAGTTCAGTATAGCATTTCGCAAAACGTGATACAAAATCAGAAATTGAAACAAGCAGTATGTGTGTTTAATTTAATTTGATAGGACTTTGAATGCTTTTTCTTGCTTCACTGATTCTCTTGCATGAGCAAGTTGTTCCTGTCATAGATCTGAGTTGCCTACAGCTACCAGTAGCACAGCTTCTGTGTTCGTAAACGGGATTACTTTTTTCAAACATGCATCTCTGGCCAGTAACCAGAGGTACCAGCTGTAGAGTGAATAGTTGTTCGCTCTTATTGCATAAAGGAAGCTGTTTTCTATTTGTGAAACAGAAAGAAACCGCTAAAAATTGTTATGGTCTTGATTTGGATTCTATTTTTACGATGGGGATGGATTTCTAATTCTGAAATGTTCGTGTTTGGCTCCAATTTAGAAAGAGAGTTGTTCTGATAAGCCCGTGGGAGGCTGTGTTGTTCTGCGTAGGTAATCCACTGCGGCTCTTTCACTTGCAAAACGTCAGGCCCGTGTACTACCTGGGGACTTGCAGCAGCATTTCTAGTGGGATTACAGAGAGGCATTTTAGTAAGGGACTGGAACATTTAATGACTTGCTATCTTTGGGGCTCACAAATTGAAGCATTTCTAATAGAGCCAGCCCTCAGCAGGGCTGCACGAGTATTTCTGCCTCCCGACCTAAGGCACATGGCTGCTCAGGCTTTCTCCAGTCTTGCAGCTGGGCTGATGGGTAAAAGCACATCGGCTTTGTGTTTACAGGGCTTTGCCTTTTCAGTGTCTCTACAAAAGTCTGATTAGTTTGCTTCTCTGCTGACTCTTGGGAGGAAGCAAAATGAAAGCACTAAGATCATGGTAAGTTGTGCAATGCAGAATGAGTTGATACTAGAGGAAAAAAATGGTCTGTTGCTCTGGATTTGTGAGTAGTATAAAAAGGAATGTTAAATGTGCTTAGAAGGGACAAATTGATTGAGAAATTTTAATGTAACTAGAAATGCAGATTTCAGAATTGGAATTCTTTTACTATGGGTCTGTTGTGAGGCTCCACTGACTCATTTTTTTATCGAAGAAATGAAACATTTCTTCAAATTCTCTAATCAGTTTAATGAAGAATTCATCCCTTTCAGGAATGAATCAAATTAACTTTCAGTTCTGCATTTCAGTAAGAGAGAAAATTATTTTTAAATGGGCCTATCGATTTATTTTACAAAGGAGTATTTGTCTTTTGCTCTAGTCACTGCCTAACGGTCAAAATTCATCCAGTTTCTTTTCTGCCTTGTAGTAACTATGTAACTTAGTGGTTCAGAACATGCTGAATAACTGTGTCATCTTTCATCAGGGTTTCTTCATCTCCTTGAAGCTCAGAAAAACAAAAGAACTTTCTGTACGCTCTAAGAGAATCTCTTAAACAAAAACAAAATAAAATCGAAGTCTGGAACTTTCACGGAAAACATCCTGCTTCTCTTTCCTTAACACAGGAGACTGGGATTCAGAGACCTCCATTCCTCTTACCAGTAACGGGGCACAGGCAGACTTTTAGATAAGCAGCTGACAGTCTTGCGTAGGGCAGAGCTTGCCCCACTACGTGCAGTTGCTAATGGAGTCAGTCAATCAGTGTTGTCTGATAGTAGTTTGGGCAATGAAACCACCTTTAAAAAGGCTTTTAGGTAACACTTGGGAGCAAAACTGGCTTTTTTCATGTAAGTAACAAACAGTCAGGGCAATTATACCTCTAGCAAATGGATTAAGTCATATAAGCGTTCGGTCAAGATTGACTTGATACTTGAAGTCCTTTGAAGAGAAGAGTTTCTTATTGAACTTCCGGGGGTGGGGGAGGTTTCAAGAATGATATACCCAGACGTCTGCCATTGCCTTGAGCTAAGCAGCCACATACAGCTCCTACTCTGTAATTAACGTTTACATATAAGGCAGAAATTAAGCTGCATTAAAAAAAATAATCAGACACCTGGACTTTTGTGTTTTAGTCGATATAGTTGCTTTGAAGGCAACTTATCAAATTGCTTTTTGCAATAGTTTTGTTACAACTGTCTCCTAAACTGCAACCTGTGTTGTTTTTCCTCAGGTGTCTGAACGCTTAAGTCAGCCAGGAGTAGCCATAGGCTTGGCTTGGACTCCCTTAGGGGGAGAGATCATGTTTGTAGAAGCCAGTCGTATGGATGGAGAAGGTCAGCTCACCTTGACTGGTCAGCTCGGAGATGTCATGAAGGAGTCGGCGCATCTTGCAATCAGCTGGTTGCGCAGTAACGCCAAGAGATACCAGCTGACCAACGGTAGGCTGGGAAACTGGCAAACAGCACAGAGCTGCGTGCATCATAGAGCTCATATGCATCCACTGGCCTCTCACTGCCTAGTAAAGGAACAGTATTATTGGATGGAAATTAAATGGCCTTAATCTTGGTACTTTTTCAGTAATTCAGTAGATTGCAGCATTGCTGAGTAACAGTGGAAGTTACTTGTACTCATGGTGGAAATGTATTAAGCATTGCCTGAACAGAGAAAGGGTTCTCCGGCAATCCGTGCTATGCTCAAGCTGAAGTCAGCTCTGGAGTTCCTTTTTGTAGCTCTTTTCCTGATGTCTGCCAAGCCGAGGTGCCAGTGGCCTGGCAGATGGGTCGGTCTGGGCAGAACATGAGTTGTCACTACAGATTCTCCCACCCTGGCCAGTCTCTCCCTGCAATAACGTGGATGGCTGCGGACAGCCTCTGTGCCGAGATGCTTCTCCCCAGTTGTGGCAGGGCCC